TTTTAAACGTTTAAAGTTAAAGTTAAATTATTAGTTTATTTACTTACTACTTACTAAATAATAAGTAACGTAATACTATCTTATGTAGTGTGTGTGTGTGTGTGTGTGTGTGTGTGTGTGTGTGTGTGTGTGTGTGTGTGTGTGTGTGCACGTGTGTTTATCTGTATAGAAAAGTTCAGGACTTTTTTTCTTCATATTTGTGTACTGATTTGTTTTTGACCTTGATTAGTAAACAATTTTTGGTGACCTTTCTGTTTTATTAGTCACTCTTTTTTTTCATTGTTTGTCAATAATGAAAATAATAGTTGTCTTAAAAAAACTATACCAAATTTTAGTTCTTGAAATGAGTGATGTGGTCCATTTTTGCTTAAATAAAGGTTATTGTGGATGACATCTCCAAAAATGTCATTTCTTTATAGACCAAAATGATGGCAGAAATAATAGCAAAAGAAATAACTGAAATTTGTAAATACAAAAGAAGAAAGACATTCTCTTTTGTAAATTTTAAGGAATTGTTTATGACATTCATAGGATCTATGATCATATACCATGAACTACTATACAGAACAATAAAAGTACCTTTTACAAAATATTGACTGAAAGTTTTAAATGCAATTATAAGTTTAATTCATGCTTACAGGATGTCAAAAATAAACAAAGATTATCTCGTAATCATGTTCTTTGTTTCTGAAACTACAGTTACTGATAAAGACTAGAACAAGCACATCAAAATATGATAAAACAGTATCTGGAGTTTTTACTAAGTTTATTATAAATTTCCTCACATTGTTTACATACAAATTATAGGATCATTAAAAACAAATAATATTGAATAATACACATAGTTTGGTTTGAATTTCGTGCAAAGCTACACAAGGGCTATCTGTGCTAGCCATCTCTAATTTATCAGTGTGAGACTAGAGGGAAGGCAGCTAGTCATCACCACCCACCGCCAACTCTTGGGCTACTCTTTTACCAATGAATAGTGGGAATGAGCATTACATTATAATGCCCCCACGGGTGAAAGGGCGAGCATGTTTGGTGTGACAGGGATTCAAACCTGCGACCCAGAGATTATGAGTCAAGCACCCTAACCAACAGGCCATGCCAAGACCAGAATAATACACATGAACTTCCTTTCATCTGAGCAATTATAAAAAGCAACTACTAAAGTATTTGGGCTTATAATATTTATAATATTAAAAAAAATTCAAATTATCTGTAAAACAAGGTAATGTCTGACAAACCATATGTTTAGAAATGAATGAAAACCCTGTAACTCCAGTGCTTTCAAAGGTGGACCTTCTTCTTCAGGGGCAAACACATGTTTAATATCTCTTATGAATATTTTCAGGACAACACTAATAGACTAGCAAATACATCATTAAGTGCAAATGTACTGAAAGTGACACTTTCTAAATGTTAAATATTTATTTATAAAAATAAAGCCACTTACTTTTAAGTCTCCTGATATGTTAGCTCCAGCAAGAATTCCTGTGGCAGCAGGAAAGAAAATGGAAAATACAGAAAAAAATGTTTCACCTCGAAAATCTGGGACAAAATTTTCCCGTGCAAGTTTCCCTAGAATTATAACAAAGTGAACAGTTTATAGGGAGATGATATGATTATAGATACAAATGGCTGAAAAACATAAATACATATACGTGGGGAAAATAGCAAAAACTAACAGTTGTATACATCACAAACCATTGAAGATGGAATGTTATTTTCTGTGGCAAACAAACAGTCACTGAAGTGTTACTGAAAAAGACTTCATTATTTTTGAAATAAATGAAGTCAAATGTTCAAAAAAAGAGAATAAGAACAAAATTTTAAAGCTGTAAAAGAAGGTCTAGGTGAAGTCACTTTCAGCCAAAATAATTATGGTTCAAAATTAGGAAATGCTTTACTGTAGAATACAAAATGATGGTCATTTAACTGAAGTTTTATACATACTGTAATAATCAGATAAAATGGCTTTTATACAACTTGATATGAAAAAGATTATACAACTTAATGCATAATAAATGTGGAGGCTATTTCAACATTCTCTGGTTTCAATAACTGTTAAAACATCTGGAAATATATGGCACCACTTAGATTCTGTCAGGAATATAGCGTATACCTGTATCAAGTAGAATGAAAGAAGTGAATGGCCTCTGATGCAACTGTCTACACACTTCCCTAATATGCTCAATTGGATCTCACATGACCCTAAAAGGGGGATGAAAGGTCCTAAACTATGCAAGTTGGACATTTCCCAGACTATCACACCACCTTCAGTGGACTGAACTGTTTACATGATCCATTAAAAGTCCAACAATTCATGAAGTTTTCACCATATCTGAGCTCTGCTATCTGTTTGAAACAGTGTTGTGAAACAGGCTCACTGGAACACAACTTACTTCCAGTGGTCTAGAGTCTAGCTGTAAAAGAAGGTCTAGGTGAAGTCACTTTCAGCCAAAATAATTATGGTTCAAAATTAGGAAATGCTTTACTGTAGAATACAAAATGATGGTCATTTAACTGAAGTTTTATACATACTGTAATAATCAGATAAAATGGCTTTTATACAACTTGATATGAAAAAGATTATACAACTTAATGCATAATAAATGTGGAGGCTATTTCAACATTCTCTGGTTTCAATAACAGCAGCAGAATGATTTGGCATCCTTCTACACGATGTTAAAAACATCTGGAAATATATGGCACCACTTAGATTCTGTCAGGAATATAGCGTATACCTGTATCAAGTAGAATGAAAGAAGTGAATGGCCTCTGATGCAACTGTCTACACACTTCCCTAATATGCTCAATTGGATCTCACATGACCCTAAAAGGGGGATGAAAGGTCCTAAACTATGCAAGTTGGACATTTCCCAGACTATCACACCACCTTCAGTGGACTGAACTGTTTACATGATCCATTAAAAGTCCAACAATTCATGAAGTTTTCACCATATCTGAGCTCTGCTATCTGTTTGAAACAGTGTTGTGAAACAGGCTCACTGGAACACAACTTACTTCCAGTGGTCTAGAGTCTAATTTTGCTGATCAGAGTACCATTTCACTCACTTCTTGTCCAAGATTAGTGGCTTGCAAACAAGTACAAATCTAATACTGTGCACATTATTTTCTTGAATATTTCCATAACTTGTATGATTGTTCCATCCCTATGGTTTCAAACAGTGCACCTTATTCATCAGCAATCCCTGTAAGCGGTGCTCCTTTTATGCCAAAAGTTCCATTTTCTTGTGGATGCTTTGCCTAGATTTTTTATTCCAAGTAGAACCGGGGGACCTTTGTCTGCTTCGCCACTTCATGAACTTTCACTGTCATGCTCCTTATGGAATCAGTAAGAGCTTTATACTTGTTCATATGTTCATTGCTACAGCAACCATTTATATACATTTGATTGATCTTATGCAGCATCATGAGACCCAACTTAGTTTACATATTGGTTCTATGGAATAGCTACCATCTATAGATGGAATTCTCTAATTTTGGCCAGTCAATGCACTTTTTGAAATAAACATTTGAAAAGAAATAAGGAATTAAATGTAAGTAAAATAAAAACAGTCTAAATGTTACACCGCTTTTGCAATTTCTTTCTTCAACATTAAGCTGTTTTAAGCTTATACTTGTGGAATATTGTTGTTCACAACAATTTCTATGTTTTAAAATACTACAGTTTCAAAACTGAGTTGTAGATGGCAGAATCAAACAGTTATTTTCAAATGATTTGTTTGTAATTAAGCAAAAAGCTACACACAGTGGGCTATCTGTGCTCCGCCTAACACATGTATCAAAACCCAGATTCTAGCAATGTAAGACATACCACTCTGTCACTGGGGGGCATTTTCAAATGAAATACAATAGACTATAATTAATCAAGCAGGTGTTAAGCAAAACTCATGACCTTCAAAGACTGTCACGTACCACTGAAAATACAGCAGCTACACAAATCACAATTAATATTCATCAAACATGTTAAGTTGCAAGATTATAATACATTTCTCACAATTCACTATACAAAATAATATCTTTGATCATTCATATTATTAATATCATGAATACAGGAGACCAGTTACAATTACATCAAGTGTTTTCAGCACAAAAAAACAATTATATAAGAAAAACCAATTTTAAACAAAAAGACTTCTAATTTAGAGAATGCATAACATGTTTTTTATATGAGGTAATAAGGATAAGCCAACTAACAACTTCTTTATAAATTGAAATATATTACAATTTTTGAACATTTACATCTTCATTTCTTGAGGGTTATTACAATTTTTTGACACATGTAATATTCAATACAAAAATGAAAAATAATGTTGTTCCAACACATATCTTAATTGAAATTTAATTAAATTTTACTTTTAAATATAGTTCTGCAATAATAGGATTAAGTTATAAAGAGTCCTATGTCTAATTATATACAAACTGTATAAAATTATCAACTTAATCCAATACAAATGTTTAAAACAAAAAAATGGCTTTTATAATCACCATTCCAGCCTATGAATCCACGGGCCTGTTGAGATACAGATGGTGGGATAAAGGAACCAATAACAAAGTCAAACATAGCTACTAGAAGAATAAAGAGCAGTACAATCTGGGCCTGAAAATAAAATTTAAAGTTTAGCAACAAAATAACAGGCATTGATCATTCTCTCTATAGCTTATTTCAATATTTTTCTTAAATTAATTGTTTGAAGAACTTGAATTTTAATTAAAATCAAATAAGAACATTTAAAATAAGTGCCATGTAGTGTAGTTTGTACTATAAAATTAACCACTCACTATATTCAGCACAATAATAAATTCTCAGATTCCATTCTAAAATCTAATCATTTAAAAGATATGTACTAGAAAATGTAAATCAATCATTAAGAAAAACAAATATCTCAGTTTTGCAATAAGTCTTCCCATCAAATTATTACCTATACCTTTTACTACTTACAATGTTACATAAAAACCTTGCTGCGAGATCATTATCTTGGTATATTCAAAAGTAATTTTTCTTGGCAATATGGCTAAAAACTGCTGTAGTGCATCCAATCATTTTTCTACTCCTCTTAGATAGTCTTTTATAAACAAGTTGTTTGCTTTATATGCACAATTACATATTTGTTCCTTGGAAAATGTGACACCAGTTTTAGCAAAACTTTACAAATAAACAACCATAAAAACATCTAACAACCAATTAAAACTCACTAAACAGCAACAAGTGTAGCTTTAGAATAGCATAGCATCAGAGACATATGACTGAAATAAGCTACTGTTTAAATATTGAATAGGGTAGCAAGACGGTACAAACAATACAGCAAAAAAATAATGCTTATAAACGTAAAATAAGAAAAAAAAGTTAAATAAATAGTTAATGGTAATAAAAAGAAATATTAAGTATATTAATCTGCCTTCACTATCCCATACACACACATGGCTATCTTACAGAGCAATAAGTAAAAAGTGACCAAATTGCACAAACATTAACAAAATAGAAGAAAAATCACAGTAATAATACTAAAACAAATAAATATTAAGAATGGCAAACATAATAAAGTACTTAATAGAAACTAATGTAATTAAACTAATGACATAGTGCTTTAATTATCTTATTTTTTTGCTGTTAAGCAAAAAGCAGCACACTGGGCTATCGTATGTGATGAACAACATAGGTATCAGATTTTTATCATGAGAAGCCCTAAGACTTACTGCCGAGCCAATTTGGGCAGGGGGGCTTTAACTATTTTGAGAGTTTAAACTAAGTTTGGTGGTCACCAAACTAAAGTTGTTTATTGTTACCTTAAACAATTAGTAAATAAAGGAATTAAGGTATAGACCTTACAGTTTTGAAAATATTGCAATATTTTGTGAAGTTATTAACCCTATACACATTACAAAGAAGACTGTAGAACTTACCAAATAAATCAAATGTACAAAATGTTCATCTTATTTGTGTAGGTTTATGGGTTCTGTACACAAAATCTCGTTATTGTTGAATGAACCCTAGTATATCCAATAAGCAGTAAGTAATAAACATTGTTGCTTAAATTATTTAGAATATTTGGGCTCCAAAATGGAAAAATTTATAACATAAAAATTAAGATGCCCATTATATTGAAATATTTTAACTTGAACACTTATATCTAAATTGGGTCAATGTGCTTTGTTTGTAGTGAAAGATTTTCTCCAAGAGTGAGTTCTGATGAAAAGGTTTGTTTGGCAGTTAAAAAAACAAAAAAAACTTGATAATTCAGTAAAAGAATATCATCACATGCACACACACACACAAGCAAAACTTGCGTGCAAATATAAACCTCCAAGTTGTGGGCTGAAGTTGCCACACATAGATATTTTTTGTATTTCCCAAAAAACATGTTGGCCAATTTATACAAATGTGTTGTAAAACAGATGTACAACTTCTAGGATCATACTTACTGTGAAAGTATGATAATTTTTTTATAAATAACAATATCATAAACATCTGTTTACTGACACAATGTATTGATTTACCAGAACTTCAACAACAACAACAAAAAATTCAAAACCGCTAATTAAACACTTTCCAATTTTATCAATAGGAATACAAACAAAGATTAATGAAATTAAAAATTTCTATTGTTTCAACTTCAAAATTTTTAATTTTCTCTTCATAATCAATGGAACTACAGAAAAACTAAAACAATATTCTTAAAATGGCCACACACACACACACACACACACACACACACACACACACAAAAAAAAAAGTCAGAAAAATAGGAGCTGTAGATTTTTGATATAAACTGACCTACCACTTTACACTTTAATATTAAAGTATTCTATGGTCCTCAGAGCAGCCACCTTCCAAGAATATTACAATCCCATTAACAAAGCTCTTGATGCAGTTAGTTGCAAGCAAGGACCTTAGGTGTTAGAGAATAAATAGGTAAGGCAGATTATATATGTATGAAGGTTGGTTATTCAACAACGGAAGATACCGTATGTGTCAGTATTGGTCTACTTATCATGATTCTATTTCTTTTTACCAAATAGGAAAACAGAATGGTTCTGTAATATCAATAGGAAAGAGGTTGTGATTGAAGTCTTATGAAAATATAAAAGAAATAAGGTGTTTTCAGGTTTTCAGTTGAAAGTGACTGATATATCGAATGGATGGCTGAATCCTAAACTGAAAATAACCCCTTAAACTTTCTAAATAGTCTAAACAACAACAAAAATATATTTTTATATAAAAAAAACAATGTCAATATTAAATTCTCAACTCAGGTTATATATAAAAGTAAAACAAGGTGACATCAAGTACTTATTATCTGGAAATACTAACCCATAAGTTAATTTACAAAAATCTTTAAAATTTTAATATTCTCTATTTCAAACTTAATGTATGATCTACAACCATTACTTCCACTTTAACAATGTGAAATTTGAATGTCTTACTTTAGTTTCCCATTCTGTCCCAACCAGGGTAATTCCAAGCAACACAATAACAGTACATATTCCAATAATTCGTACATCATTCATTCCAGCATCCACGATGTAGAGATTTTGAAGCTGTAGATAAAATGACATATATACAATTATTTGAGTTACATAGTTTTCCTAACTCATCAATTTTCTCTTTTTTCAGGGGTGCATTTCTTATTATATAATTGTGATTTTATAACAGCTTTATATTTCTGATCATGTTTATTACCAGTACTCTTTTTTAATTTTTTCACAAAACTTGATTTCAAAATATTCTGAATAAAAAGACAACCATGCAAGGGTGTGTTAGCCAAACGTATTTCTACTACTAAAATAAAGAATTGAATCAAACATTATAAAAACAAATCTAGTGTATCTATGCACACACACACATACATCTTTAACACTAAGCTCAATCTGCACAACAGAAAGTTATACTTCCTCTCATTTTGAGAATATTTAGAAATATTTAAGGATTTTTCATATAAATGTAATCAATAACTTCATACATTTTTTTAAATGTACTATAATCAGTCATAATCTTTGTTCATTACATAAGGATAAGTTATGAGTTATCTTTCTGACATTCTTGTTCATTTAATATTTATTTCATATAATTAAGCACCTGCACCATTCTTCATCCATCCCTTATTCTAACCAGCAAAAAGAAGTTAATTCTTAATGATATAAATATTAAACAAAAAGCAAATAAAAAAAAATCAACCAGCATAAGTAATTTGGTATCATATAATGGGTTCCATCTTAAAAAATAGTGTTATAAAACAATACTGTTACAAAATTACAACAAGTTATCCATGAATAATCTGTTTAAAGAGTAATAGTAAAGACTAAATAAAAAAAAAGGCTTGTGGGTACTAATTACAGTGGCTATACAGTTAGTTCTTTTTACTTAACAAGTCAATTATTGTGACATTATTATGCCTTGAGATTATAAGTAAGTAAAATACAATGATTTTAGACTTACTTGTAAAACATCTCTCACGGTTTCACCAAATCCAACTACATACATAGCCACTGCTATAGCATTTGCTAGAGAGAAGATCAATCCGATAGCTCCTCCAAATTCTGGCCCTAGACTTCTTGATATCATATAATAGGTTCCACCTATTAAAAAGTGTTATAGGGCAAGGGCAATACTGTTAAAACACAGCAAAAACAAATAAGTCGAATCTGTTTATGTAATAATTAGTAGAATTGAATCAATTTTACAAAAATAAAAATGTGGTCATATGTTCTATTACATATTTTAAATTCATACTCAAATATTTCCTACTCCAAGTTAGTCTAAATGAACACTGATGAAGAAAAATTTGAAGAAAAAGATTTTGTAGATTTGAAATAACTGTTTTAAACACTAACAAACTACTGTAGTATAAAATTACAAAAATTATTTTAATTGAAAGAAAATTTAGGATTAACTACATCTTAAGGTACAACACTATTGCATATGATCTTTATATAATTCAAATTAAATGCCAAGAATGCAATCAGTATTTCTTAAATTATTCTCAATAGCATATTTCTTTTTCATTAGCAACTGTAGAGAAACAAATCACTAAACTCAGTTATAAAACTTATCCAACCTTCAATAACAAGTAAAATATATTCATGGTTTGAAAATTAATAACAAAAATCTGCAGATATACAGTATATCAGTAATAGTATTATTATTACAAAGCTTATTACTTCAAATAAACTTAATAAACTTCAGTTTGAGAGGATTATCACATACTTAAAACCTGGTAGAGTTACCATAACTTTTAATGTGTCTTCTTAGTTACCATCAGAACATAAGATTTTTGGTTAAACTTTTACAGAACTTATTGTAACTAATAACAAAATGTTTTTATAGGTTTGCCAGACAATACATGCCTACATTACAATACCTACAGATGCATCATACATGTGTGGCTATTTTACCATTTACTATTTATGCCACTCAAAGAAATGGATAATTAAATAGAACAAAGATGACAGCACAAAGCAGGTTTTAAGTGGTATCACAGATATTATAATGTCACCTACTAATAACTGCTATAGCAATAACACCAACTGTTAACACTTGCTAGGACCAATGATTTTAACATTTACCCAAGACAATACGTACATTCACTGAGCTACAAGGTTCTCATGTATTAAAATCGTATAATTTCCTATTCAAACGTTACACTTTAGGCTTCTGAATCAATTTTTTTTTATTTTAATGAAATAACTTGCTTACTAATGCCTATAAACATTTTTTGGTAATTTCTTTTTACTATAATTAAGAAGCCTAACAAGCCAAGTCCACTTCTCTTGATTTTAATAACAATATTATCTATCTACAATTATGAAATTAACCATGCAAAGATTTTAGACAAAAGTAAGATGATTAACATTTTCTATGTTTTTGTATCAGTTCACCAAATCAACTAATATTTCATGTCAGTAATCTTTCTTAATACATTAATCGATTAAATTTCCACTAAAATATTTCTCCAAAAATCTTTAAGAACAAAATAATTTCCCAAGAACAAAAAAAATTCTTTCTCAGTTTTAACATTTTTTAACAATTAATGTCTGCAACTGTTTAAATCCAATTACAATTTCATTATTTATAAGTTTGGAAAATTTTACAAACACTTCTACAATTATTTTACATTAAGAATTACTTTCAAAATTAATTTTGCAAAAACTTTTCCCTCAGTGTAAATTTTTTGCCAAGAACTGGCACTATTTGTTATTCTTACGCTACACATGTATTTTGAATGAATTGGTTGCATCTGAACGTAAAAGGGATAATGAAATATCACTATTATAAAGTTTGAAGCATCACACATCCAATACACCATCAGTTAACATTTGCATTTTCCTTCTTAATAGTTTAACTTCACATTATAGTGAACTCTGATGAAGAATAATAATAAAAAAATATTTTGTCTCAAATGAATATCATTTAATTCAAAGCACTGTAGTGATGACATCTTTAAACTACACAAACACTGCAATAACACATTTTATTATCATTTGTTAACAATGTATTTCCTAAACAAAAAGATAATTTGGGCACATTTTAATATCAATAAATTTTGCCTGTGTGTTAGTTAAATCATTTGTTAACAATGCACTTAGTAAAAAAGATAATATGGGTACACTTTAGTATCAATGAAATTTGCAGGTGTGTTAGTTAAAACATTTGTATGTACTGCAATAAAAGGATTTGTCTAAGTTTTACTGACAAACCTATATATACTCATTAGTTACAAAAAGTTTATCTCTGCAAATGCATTTATCTACTCTCTACTTTCAAAAATGTTTGTCTGCTTTGGTAGCAAACTCATTCATCTACTCTACTTACAGAAACATTTGTCTGTTTTAGTTTGCAAACAAATTTACTCATTTCTTATAAAGTTTATGCTTTAGAAACAAAATCGTTTTTCTATGTCTTACTAATATATATATATATATATATATAAACTATATAATTCTGCCGTAACTTCTTCTAATAACATTAATATGGTACATTTCGCTTTTCATACAAATTTCTGTTTAAAAAAGCAGCAGTGTCAGTGCTTTATAGTTAACCAACAACAACTATTTCCAACTTAACACCATTGTATCTGTGGGAACATTTCAAACTCCAGAATATTTGTCTGAAATCCAACTATATCCAACAGAAGAATAAATATTAAGGATTGTCAGATGGCACTCCACTAGGACCACTCCTTTTACCCATTGTTGTAAAAAAAAATCTATGTTCAATAACGTGAAGAAATGGCTATATCAACAGCTTTAAAAAAAAAAAAAATGATTGATTTGGAACACATTGGATAATGTTTTCATTTTATAGTCCTTTCATCTAGACAGTCTTCACGATTTTTTTCATTATTTCAACAACCTAGACCATGCTTGAAATCAACAACTCTACCATTCCTGGATGTGCAAGTGACCAAAAAGGAATCTCAAACAGAATTCACAACATCAGTCTCAAGAAAGAATATAAACATTCAGGGATCAAAATATTATATTCCTGGACTCCCAAGAAATTTCACTTTGCTTGAGGAATTTCATCTTTTTAGTTGGCTTTCCCACTTGGGAATACACGGTCCATCCATATTTCTTTAGTTATGACCAAGGAAAGTGAACATATTGCGTGGATTAAATAAATAAAAAAACAACTCATGAGGAAATGCAACTTTAGATGAGCTTTCTCTCGAGTAAATGTAATTATATTTCATTATTTTTATCATTGACACTATCAAATATGTAAATTAGGTCATACCACCAAACTCAAGCAAAAAAAAAAAAATGCATTAAAAATCTTAAACAATAGACCCATCAATATCTCTTCAAAACAGAATTAGCAACAGAAGTAGTTTCTTCATGAAACACTTATGCAGAATAATTATCCTAATAAATTGCTCATGGACTAAAATCTGTTCTCAACAACATTTCCTCATCTTCTATATACAGATAAGGATAAAATTATTATCTTATCATATGTACTAAACACTGAAAAAATACTAAGATGTCTGTTTAGAAAATATAACATCAATACTGTTTCCAAATCTCCCCTTATTCTTAAAAACATTCTTAACCAGGTCAGAACCTCCACGTCATCCAAAAAATGTGGATTATGACATTAAATATGAATGTTCAAAGCAGTATATTGGAGAAGTCAAGAAACCTTTTTATACCTGAATATCTGAGCACCAAAGATATATCAGAAATTACAATACAAAAAACATCAGTGACAGCCAGACGTGCTAGAGAAAATAACTATATCCTCAACTTTAAGAAAATAAAAACTATGGGCTGGGATTCTAACATGAAGAGAATAATAATTATAGAGGTTATTGCCACTACAGCATCAAGATAGTAGCCATCCACAAAACACTGCCCTTACTTCCTTCATTCTAAATAATGAACTGCTCAGTAAATAATTCACACTTACATTTAGTGAATGATAAAAATACAAAACAATAATGACATCTTAAACTAATTTCAGTAGACTCTACCTTTCTAAACATTTTCTGTGATATTATTTAAATTATATTAAATTTCTAGAAAAATTAATGATTTTAATGTAATCATATAGATATGACACCATTCGTCAATTTTTGAATTTCCTCTAGATTTATAATACTCTAGTTAAGCCTAGGTTAACTAAATGGTGTATGAAGAATACTCCAGAGCGGAAGTTGAAAGCTTGCACCAAGAAAAATACCTTCAAATAATATGTGATAAAATTTCTGTGCATATTATTTTACGTAATTCTTATATATTCCTTAGTTTCAAAGAGGTTTGTTTCTGATTTAGTAGGAAACATGATTATCTAATTTTGTGTAGGAATTAGAACACAGTATGAACATTAAGAACAAAATCTTTATTCTTTGTCAACTCTTTCATGATGAATTAACGTGTAACTTTAACGAAACAACTGTTCATACACTGCAAATGGTGTACAATGACAGCAATGCACATACTCTTAAGTGACTAGAAAGTTAACATTATCAGTACTCCATATTCATCTATTGAAAGCATTGTTTAAACTGAATACATCCAGTAAAATCATTGTTTACTAACGACATTTGGTGAAAGTATTTTTCATGCTTAGTATGTACTTTTCAAATTGTGTATACTTTAGTAACATTACTGTTTGCAAAATTTGTTAAAAAATAAAATGTCTGTTTTTGTAGAAACAAACAAGTTCAGTAAACATATTCTAAATTGAAACAGGTTTCAAGTTCAAAATTAAAACATTTTTGGTATAAAAAGTAGCACAAATAAATTCTAAAAGTGACAGTTTTGATTCAGTTACTATATTCAAAAAGAAACTAGATAAATTTTTGTTTGTATAGTGACTTTCAGTATCAAAAAACCATTAAAAATAAAATTTGTATATATATATATATATATATATATACTAAGTAAATAATACTAGAATACTAGAGAACAACTAAAACTTAATTTTTTAATTTACTAATTAATACAATAATTAGTGTGT